ACGTCTAGACGTCTGTCTTGAAGTCTCTCCTTCGTCCAGGCATTCAACTAGTCGGCTTTTTCACCCTCTTGCCTACAGAAGAAATGTTCCTTTACTCCTCCCGATTTGTTGTGCTGAATCAAACTAGTCATTCACTCACTCGTTCACCCACTCCATCTATCTACCCAACCCTGTCAACTTACCCAAACTCGTCTAGCGAGCTAGCAAGCCTGCTGGTCAACTGCAAGTGTGCGGGCGTGTTGGCCACCACCGACTGTCCATTGGTTGAAGCACGGCCAAAAGCGGGCGATTGGTTAGACTGCGAGTTAATGCTTTCGCAGGCCACGCAACAGATGGCTTGTCTTTTTTTGGGAGGCTTTCAAAGCCTCCTCTGGCTCGCTCATACCACACCAGAGTCATCAACGGCACCCAACTGCCTCCCCAAAGCTGCAACAGGGCAGAGCAATAGAGGTGATTGTTTAACTGTGAGGGTATGGGAGGGCCGGAGGTTTGTGGGTACGCGCGGCTATCCATTCCAGCTGGATGGTGGTGGTAGGAACGGAGGGGAGAGGCCGCGTGGCTAAGTGGCCCTTTAAATCGGACTGGTTTTGCCCCACCCGCCTCGGCTTTCGTCTGGGTCAGCCGTTCTCTTTCGGCCGTGGCGAGCCTATCGGTAAATTGTGCTCCACCTTGAAGACCTCAATGCTGATGGCCGAATGTGGCACAGGTGTATTTGGGCATTCCGAGTATGACGAACTGCGAAAGATTTACTCCCTTGGAAAGGTATTGACCTGGGAAGAGGTGCCCAAGAGGCAACCGCCTTTCGCAGTCAAATTTGCCCAAAGCATGGTGTCCGAGCTGTTCTGGAGCAGTGCTTCGATTCCTCAGGGCCTGAATTCACTCCACCGCTGGTCACTCTCTTGGCATTTCCGTGGTCTGCCAAGAGTCGAACAATGGCTTCGGTGAGGCCTCCTCTCTGTACATGCACAGGGTCACCTCTCCAATGCTCTGAACAATTCCATTTCATTTCAAAACTGTTTTGTTCCTTTTTTTTCTACTTTATTCCATTTTGTGGCAGCCAAAGCATTGTCGATGAAATCCCCTCAAACAATGGAACAACATGAGTGCTATTGTTTGAGCTGCGTATTGTCTAACCGCAGATATGAAAGTCCTATACGGTCACTGTTCCAGGTGCGTAAAGTTGGCCAAAACATTTTTAAAACTAAAAATTGTTTTATACTCTAATTTGAGGGTGAACCTTCAAATACTATTTGTTTCAAGTGTCTGGAGCTACTCAACGGTTCTTTCTTCAGTCCGTGGGGCCAGCTTTGCATCCAAAGCATTCTGCATTCCCCGCCCATTTCCAAATGGGTCAGCCGCTCAAATAGGAGAGGGAACTTTGTCCCCACACTGCGTGCACGCATGCCGACGGTGGTGGATTTGTGGCCCCAGGAACACGCACACACCTGGTCGGAGTGACCGGCGTGCGATAGGAGCACAGCGTGAGGAGACTGTTGTGTTCCCCGACCATTTCAGCCATGCGAATTGACCTTGACCTCGGAGGACTTAGTAGCACGGTATTTGGGATGTTAGCCAATCCAGAGGGACTAGTAGAGGGAGACAGAGCGCGTACGACCCTCTAGAATGTGCTGTGACTAACCATCATTTGGAAAAGTCTAGGAGATGGGAACAGTGACGTTTCCTTGGTGGTTGTAGGCCCACCTACGGCCTTCATTGTTGGCCAGTAGAAATCAAAGCACCAGCTACACTGTGAAAGCGACTGCTTGGTGAATGGCCATGGAGAGGAGGCAAGAGCGAGCACAGGAAAGAGGGAGGAGGCTGTGCAGCAGGCCGATGTCCACTTCGAGAGGGTGGCCAACTTCCATCTCGATGACGCAGCGCCATTGGCTGATGTTATGGATGGATTAATAAATCCAGCTCTAGCTTTCACCGTTTCCCGTTTTTCTTCTATTTCCTGATTGTCTGCTCCACTGTGTTTGTCACTTTCAAATGTCAAACAGAAGTGGTGCCAATCGTTGGGCTAACCTTTCAGGGGAATAGGGAATATGAGGCGCTATCCCCCTCCCCACCTCCCTCGTCCACTCCCACTCACAAGTGGGAATTTATTGCAGAAAGATGAGTTTTTCCCCTGTGATTAGTTGTCTGGAGTTGATGGATCGCAGTCACAAGGTGGAACGTCCTCGGGGGATAAGGTAAAACCGCCTCTCCTAGAGGTGTGGCTGTCATTTCTCACTCAACCGTGGACAGTCAACAGGCGATCCGCAATGCGCGACGTGTTTCTTCACCAGAGAGGAGGTGGAGAATTGCATCATCATCGCCGACTATTGACGATGCCTTGAGAGTCAAGTACTTAGCAACCACCGTGAATTTTCCCAGTCCACCACTCCAGGATGTCAAACGTCACCGAGGACGACTGTTGAAATACTTGTGGAAGTAATTCATCAAGGCACTTATAAGAGAGAGCTTTGGAAATGACAGTGGACAATGGCAAAATCTGCACCCAGACTGGGTCACCAGGGCAAATGAGATGCGAAAAGTGGAAGAAAGAAGAGGTGAATTTAACTCGTTTGTAAGAATGAAAGCAAGCACGAGACGAGACAATAGTGAGGTTTATTAATTCATAAACAATTTTGGTTTCAGGGATAAGACAAAGTGGA